CGATGTTAAGAGTGTAGACTCATAATCTCACTCTGAGCCACGAGTTCGATCCCTGCCGAGGCACAAACCTGCCTTGCAAAAATTGCAAAAATGGGGACGATACCAGCGTCAGGCCCAGGTTGACAGGCCGGCTGATGGAGGAACCCGTCACAACAACCATGACAAGTCGCAATAGAATCAGTGTAAAAGCTAGGACGTCACCCGGAAGTGGCGCGCAGAACCCTCGCCCGAGTTCTGTGGTCAGTATGCGAGGGCTACCGAGGGGTGAACGACCTCGGCCAAAGAAGCTAGTTCGAATTTGGGCCAACGTGGCGGTCGTACCGGAGTCTGTAGTGCCGCCGACTCATGAGACGCAGGAATATCCAAGTCCTATGCCTGCAGGAAACGCGATGGAAGGGTGCGAAGGCCCGAGATTGGAGAAGGCATCAAACTCTTCTACAATGGAGCAGACACCAAACGGAATGGCGTTGCCATAGCGGTGGCAATCCCTCAGGAGTGCGTCTCACTGGTGAAACAGGATCAGTGACCGGATATGGAGTGAGAATGACCACAGGAGGGGTACTGGACAGTACTGACCGTGTACGCACCACAATCCGGTTGCTCTGAAGCCGAAAAGGATGAGTTCTACCTGACCCTGGACGAGGCCATAAGATCGGTTCCGGAAGAGGACTATCTCACCATAGCTGGAGATCTGAATGGCCATGTTGGGAGGGACAGAAGGGGTCTAGAAAGGCGAGGCACGGGAGGGTCAAGGAATAGGAACACAAGAACGCGAGGAGGACGATCTTGACAGGCGGACACGCTCACGGACTTACGCACTGGGTGCAGCACCTTCTTCGCGAAAAGGAGGACCCAAAAGGTAACCTACAGCAGTGGAGGGAGACAAACGGAAATCGACCATGTCCTGGTAAGAAGATCGTCTCTCAAAACCATCAAGGATATCAAGGTACTGCCTGGGGAAGAGCTGGGCCCTCAGCACAGGCCTCTCCTGGCAGACATCGCCATAGACCTCCCCAAGAAGACAAGGGTGAGAGCAGAGCGAAGAATTCGGTGGTGGAAAATGGGCAGGGTAGAAAAGGATAGCCTCGGCCGAAGAATACTGGAAGCTGGGCTGGGTCCAGACCACAATGGGCCAGTCCAGCGACAACCTGGACCTCACGCGCGGCAGAGGTCATCCTACAGTGTGCAAGGGAGATCCTGTGGAGAGACGTGAGGTGGTATCAGAGGAGACAAGGCAGCCTGGTTCTGGAACGAGGAAGTCCAGAGTGTCGTCAGCAGAAGAACTGCGAAGCATTACCGAACCGCTGGCAAAGACCACGGAGCCCAGAAGACTACCGCTGCCAAGAGCTGGCCGAAGCGACTCCGCGGCGGCGTGCTGAAGAGCCAGAAACGGAAATGGACGCCCGGTACGACACAGCTGGAAGGCCGAGAGGGACAAGTTCGTGCTCCGCAGTGGCTACAAGCTCCGACATAGCGCGCAGCGAGGACATCAGAGGTCGTAAAGACTGTAAGAGCGCAACGGGCGCCATGTGTACAGGTACAGCCGAAGTCAGGAAGAGGTGGGAAGAATACTTCGAGGGACTTCTGAACGAAGAATTCCCTCGCAAGGATAGCCCACAGATAGAGGCGACGGCAGGTCCCATCACTCCCTGGACGAAGGATGAAGTTCGCCGGGAGCTAGGGAGAATGAAAGCTGGGAAAGCAGTGGGCCCAGACGGGGTACCGATAGAGGCATGGAAGGCCCTGGGAGAGTTTGGGGTGAGTTGGCTAACAGACTTCCTAAACAATGTAACGGCTGAAGGAAGGATGCCAGATGCGTGGAGGAGCAGCAATCGTCCCAGGGTCAACAGAAAGGGCGACAGCGACGGAGTGTCCAACTACCGCGGATCAAGTTGACTCCCCATACCATGAAGCTGTACGAGCGCCTGGTCAACACAAGGCTAAGGGAACTTGTCTCGATCTCGCAGGAACAGTTCGGCTTCATGCCCGAGAGGTCCACCACCGATGCCATCTTCATCGCCAGACAGCTGATGGAGAAGTACCGAGAGAAGCGGCGACCCTTGCTACCTAGCCTTCCTGGACCTTGAGAAGGCATTCGACCGCCTGCCAAGGCCGCTACGCGGGAGCGCTCGAGAACGTAACCGTTCCGCACCTCATCTCCATAGTGAAGGACATGTACGATGGGGCTAAAGCAGCTGTACGCACCCCTCACGGCTTGACAAAGGAGGTAAACATTACGGTTGGGGTACACCAAGGATCAGCCCTCAGCCCGTTCCTCTTCCTCCTGACTCTAGATGTCATGGCAAAAGAACTCATGGAGGGACCACTGAAAACCATCCTCTATGCTGACGACATCGCCCTGATAGCGGACAGCAGGGAGGAACTTCAGGACAAGGTGCAGCGGTGGCAGGATGTGCTCGCTGCGAATGGACTCCGGCTGAACGTAAAGAAGACCAAGTTCCTAAGCTCCGAAGAGTGCGCCGAAGTCATCGTAGATCGCCATGGCGAGAGCATCGAAAAGGTCGAGGATTTCCAGTACCTGGGGAGCAACCTAGCAGCTGAGGGACCAGGCCGGTGGCGGCGCCGCCGAATACAACCTCAGCACTGGATTGAAATGAGGGGAGCACTGGGATCCTGTGCAGACCGCCGTTCTCGCAGAACACTCGAAGGGAAGGTTGTTACCGGGCTGGTGGTAAGGCCTACAATGCTCTACGGCAGTGAGTGCTGGCCTATCTGCAAGAACCATGAAAGGCAGCTCCACTCAGCTGAAATGAGGATGCTGAGATGGCCTGCTGGACACGACTCGACAGAGTCAGAAACGAGGACGTCAGAGCAGTCACACAGACGGCTCCTATCCAGCTGAAGGCACGAGAGCAGCGACTGCGATGGTACGGTCATGTATGGGGAGGCCTGAAGACCACCCAATAAGAAAGGCATTGGAACTCGAGGTAGAGGGCAAGCGACCACGAGGAGCCCCAAAGAAAGGTGGAGGGAGGTCATCAAGAGGGACCTCACTGAAGTGAAAGCCACAGCAGAAGATGCAGTGGATCGGAACAAGTGGCGACGTCTAACAAGATCAGCGGACCCTGCGACGGCGCGGGACTAACGCTAGGGAGAAGAAGACGTTGTAAATGTGGAGAAAAGTCCTTGGCTGAATCTATACAGTCTCAGGAACATTGCCATGTTGAGAAGTACAATCCGTCAAAGACAACTCACTTTACTCAAGGAAGATTGTGGAATTGATCCTGGGCAGAGATTCGACAATAGAGGCGAAGTGGAATTCACATGCATAACAGAAAGAACCGTAGCGGCCACGTAGAACGGTAGACCCAAGAACGAACAGATCAACACCAACACAGCAATGCACAGCAGATCCAGATGATAACCTTCTCCTTTCTAAAATGCAATAAAGCGTTTTAAGGCGTTCATTACAGGTAACTAATACCTAGAGTATACAGAATTAGCAGGTTGACACGATGATCCCCGCTCGGCCTAAAAGTAGTACGGGTAGGCGCCTATATACGCAGACGCACATGAAGCGATACAGAACGGAGTGAACGGTTAAAATCCTTGCTAAGAAAGAGTCCTCCGTTATCAAGTTTTGTCAATGTGTTCAAAATCATTTTGGCACGAATTCCGTGCCGCATCTTGCAATCACCGCTACCTAAGATACGGACGCATTATAATACCCATATTGCAGTTGCCGCATCACGGCCGCTTAGACAATGGTTTTGCTCTCAATAATCCTTGCCTGTCAGCAATATATGATACGAGCGCCAGGACGGTAGTCCTTTTGTGGGCGAAGCGGGGCGAGGAAGGCTTTAGGACGTTATAATGTTGTTGCTCGATAGGGCGTTATAGGTACCCTCCTCAGAAAAAGGCGCCACGGAGCGCCTGTCCGAGGTCACGGAATTCTGTTAAGCCAGTCGTATAAATCCTACATCTGTATAGCGATTTATCGTGCCAACTGCCTTTAAGTCTACTAGGTTGGTCAATAGTGCTGGGACACTTAAAGACTGAAAATTTCATTGGAAATTTCTTTAGTTGAACTCACTCGCAACATGTTGTCCTTTCGATTAATAATAACTGCAGTAATCTGTTGATCCATCACTATCAAAATTGTATAGAAAGCAGCTGGAAGGCACGCAATAAGAGCAACTATAAGAGGAACACGTGAAATATCGACAATCCATGGGCGATCCAGTGTCGGCTGAAAATGAAATTTTAACGAGTCATCAAGGACGCCTGATGCCATTTTTATGCTTTTCCTTCTTTATTGCGGCTGTTTCCCTCTACAAAGACTTTTTCACTACCAATATGACCATTGGGTTTTAGCCGTCTGGGAGTAGAAGTGGACGTTGGCGCGCTATCACTTGCGCCTTACTCATTGGTGCACTCTTCCTTCTGATATGGTAAACAAGGCACCAATGAGGAGGGCCTAGTGCCCATCCAAGGGCAGATGTGGGCAATCTCCGCCCATCTGGTCATTGCGGAATATCCTTAATTTACAAGTTTTCTGGAAGGAACTTACCCTGAATTCCTGAGGAACATTGAGACTCGGAACATCTAAGCCTATTGCTAGCGAGAATGCAGTCATGACAACAATAGCGATGACAACGCCAAAGTCGCTTAAAGTGTTTCGAACCTGAAAGAGAAGATGCACCGAATTTTGAACGGAAGAATAGAAGCATTCAAACTTGGATAACGGGGGAGCCGATTGGGAGTCCATGTTGTGGCGAACGCGGAGTCGCACGAGGCGTCGCGCGAGCGCCATTTACA